ATTAAAAAAAATCGGAACATGTAGGATATTATTCTCAAGGTATTAAGGATCTTTCTTCTCTTTTGAATTTTTGAATTTTTTAAAACTTCAAATTATATGTATTTTGATTCAACATAAAACTGCCCTGGGCAGATGATACTGATCTTGAAGGTGCAAATAATAATAGGTTGCCATGGTGTGGCAATAGAGAGCATCAAATTCTGCCTTAATAACAACAACAAGCTCTGTTTAGGATGGATCAATGCTCTTCATACAGTAAGACAATAAGACAAAAGGAAGACAATGAAATACCCTTCATGACAATGAAATACCCTCCATGACAATTCAATTATTAGGGTGAGTCATTACTCCTTGGTCAAATCACTATTGGATCTAGTCAACAAATTTCTTGTTCAGTATTTAATTTATTTAGGTATTTATTTTGTTTCTTTTAACTTTGTATCTTTTGATTATTCTGTCTGCTCAATCCCACAGTTGCAACCTACCTGATGGTATTGAATTCATTTCAGAGATTTGACATGATCTGTAAAAGAGATAAATCCATAAACCAAACTCATAAGAATCATTTGGAAGAAAAAATAGAAGCTGGGAAATTTATACAATTGTATTTAAGTACATATGAAGAGTCTGTGGTGAATGCTTTCCTTAATGATTTGTGCTCTCTAGTTAAAACCAATGTTTTAACTAGAGAGCACAACACCTTGACACAATGTATTTTTTTGGGTTTATTTCTATTTTACTGTTGTTCTTCATACTGAAACCATACTACCAAAATATTTACATATTTCAGATGGAATATGAGACATTGTTCTTATACTAAAATCAAAATATGTTATATGTTCAGTTGTTTTATCAAAAGGTGAATTTCTAGAGGTAGGAGAGAGAGAGAGAGAGAGATAGAGATAGAATGTCACATGATGCTGAAGGTTTTATAACTCTACAAATGAATAAACGTCCATGAGAATATGTTTACTTGCTCATTTCATTAACTTTAAGTAAACAAAGTTGTACATCAACAAGCCATGCCTTTGAAGCAATAACGAATACTCTAGACCTTCATGTAACATTTTGATTTTGATTTTGATTTTGATTTTTTTTTGGATATTAATGATAAGAATTGTGTACATAACGTTAGACTTGCAATGTTACATACAACCAAATTCAATGAACTTCATGTCATGTAACATTGCAAATGGTGGTTACTATAATTGCACCGGTAATATTTCAAAAAAGAAGGAAAAAATTAAAAGACGAATTTGCATAATAATCCAATCAGTGGGTGTGTAAGCGTGGAAGGGACACGAAAAGGAGATTCCAAAATATTCCTTTTCACACAGTCCGAGATTGGGATCGTCGTGTATCGGCTCCGGTCCTGGAAAGGTCTCGGTAGAAGTGCATCTGGGTAGCAGCCAAGGAAGTGCATTTCTGATTATCCGGATAATCAGAAAAGCTTCGGAATGTCGAAGCTGTAGATTCCACAGCTCCGAACTACGACAGATTTTGTATTCAAACACTGGAATCTCCTCCCTGCAACCATCTCGCGGAAAGCGGTGATCGGTATTATTTGTATCTCAACGGATGCTGTCCGTTCAGATCAGTCTCGGAGTTGCGGTATTCGGTTCCGAGCTGTTGTTACGGACCTCCAAGACAGCGAGGAAACGAGGAAAGTGTTGCAAAACCAGGGTTCTGGAGCGAGCAGTCTGTGGGTGAGTGGGCATGCTATTCCTACGCCTCATCCTCCTCAGCCAAATTGCCCAAGTGGCCTTCGTGCAGGGAGCGACAGCCGGGCGATACGATTGTCCATGTTTGCAGCCAGCTTGTACAGCTGCTTCCGAGGCCGCGGAACTGTTGTTCCGCTCTCTCTCGCTCTCGCGCTCTATGCGTCGATCCGAGCGGCGATACTGGCAGAGCGGTTCACCGCCGCCCCCAATTTAGCAGCCCATCCAAAGTTGCGTTCTCCGCAGCCAAGTCGACAGACTCTCGGAACACAACGGCACTGGACAGCCTCACAAGTAATGGGTGAGTTTCTTCCGCGATTCTTCGAGACAGGCTGTGGCAGGATAAAGAGCGGCGTCCGAGCTCCGGCGCAAGACTGGATGATGTTTGCCGAAGGTTGCTAGTGCCACAAGCTTTGCTACTTCTAGGGCATAAGACTTTGCGTCTTGGGGAGATTTCCTGTAATGAATTGTTGAGTTCTTATTTTCTTGCTTCATCCAATCATTTTCGTACGAGAGACTTCTGTGATGGAAATATTATTACTATTTTTCTAAGTAAAAAAATTGTGTTAATAAATCGAGCCAAAGAGGTGTGGTTGTGTGTGTTAACGAAATAGAGTTAATCAGTTTGGTGTCAATGCAAGCCAACAATGTTAAGGAAGATAGGTGAATTGGTTGTGATTTATGTGAAGTTCTTCTCTGAGAGATTCCCTAATTCAGCCGACTTTAATTTCACTGAGTCTTGTCTAATTTATATTCAGAATCAAGTTTCTATACTATACCATCTTTCAATCTCTTCATGATGTTTTGAAAACTTAAACCATAAATCATTGTCGATTTACAAATAGTAAATGATTGAAGCGGAATTTTCTAAATAAAATAAAATGCTTATCATAAGTAAAATTTTATTATTTTAAAAAAATTACAAAATTAAAAAAAATATCATAGATTGATTGTTTTAAATCTTTTGTTTCTAGTTAGAAAATTGACATTTCACAATGTTATCATGCCCCAAATATTTACACATGTTTTATATTCATTTTTTTCTAAATTCATGATAACAGATATAGAGCAGAAAGATTTAAGAAAAATGATGAAAAAGGGTCCAAGGGTGATGTAGCCCCATTATTAGGAAACTGAATATTTTAAAGAATGCCAATAGTATATGATATTGTAAAATAATATGCAGTATATAATTAATATAAATATATATATTTTAACACACATGAATATTTATGATTAAAAAGAAATGTCTTAAAAGATGTGTGTAAGATTTTAGTACACAACTTTACAAATAAATCTTTAATTTGGACATAAAAATAGCCCTACTCAATAGTTTAATACTAATAAAAACCAAGTTAAAAGTGCAATAAATATAATCAGAATAAATAAATAAATATATTTTTTCCCGTAATGCATTGTTATATTTTGATGTACCCACAGAATTGTTCCTTTTGAACTCACAGTTACAAAAGACAATAACTTCTGCAGTATATTTGAAATTGCAACCGCATTTGATTTTCAAATGAAGTATTATGATGCAGTTACTTCAAACCTTCCATCAACTAATTGTTGGTGTTAATTTCTGAACTGAGCATAATTAACACACATTGACATGGTTGCACAAAAAGACCCAATTGGATGCTTCATAATACGATAATATTAATGATGCAAGGGCGTTCCATACAGTTAATTATTTTTGTTGTAGAAGATTCCATAGATAGATTCCTTTTTGGAAGGATAGGCCTTTGTGATGAAGGCATGAAGTGGGGAACCATTATGGGGCACCAGCGTTCCCAGATGTGGGGCTTTATGGTTGAGCATGCAAGGAGGAATAGAAAAGAAGGGGGGGCTCAAGATGGAATAAATGGATTGATGCTAATTTGGCTTCCATAGTCAGGGAGTTGATGATAGAGAGAGTTCTCGAAGCTTTGCCTTTAATCAGCTTTAACCTCTCTTCTCTCATAATTTGTGGCCAACGTGAAAGCACATCCCAGGATGCTGAAAAATTGCACTGAGGCGCCCCCAATTTATGAGTTCAAGTGTGGGGGAAAGGAATTTATGGGATTCTAACACACAAATGTAACGCAAAAATAGATGTAAGTTTAATGATATTTTATTTTTAGTTAACTTTTTAGATGGGGTCCTCGCCAACATTTGACCGCCTTGGGAAAAATGGTCTCCAATTTTTTAGTTTCATCATCGTCATTTATGATCACTGAATCTAAAAATAAAAACTTGGAAATGAGCTTTTGCGGTTATGTCTGGGATCAATTCCATTTTTGGTTCAATACCATCTGGGTTATAATAGAACTGTAGGAGCCGTGCTCACACTATCAAACAGCCAACTTTGTGCTTTCGAAAGCCTAGTGATGCATTAAACACATAATGTAATACGTGGTATTTCGAAACTCTATTCCGCAATAGAGCATCATGAGAGAAGGATGGACCAGACAGCTCGAAGCAGCTCCAATCAGAATGCCAGACACCCAGTCTCCAGCCAGTAACCACCATAACAAAAAGCATCAGTAGGATTCGCTGGTGCGACAAAAAGATAGGAAAGGAAGAAACCAAAGAAGAAAAACAACACACTGTGCAATAAACTCCGGTGAAAAAAAGAAGAAAAAGGAACAGTGCGACCGGTACTCAGACCCTCCTTCACGTCTTCCAGCATACACATTCCAGGCTTATACTTGAGAATGCTCAAACGCGAGATATGCTGCAGGCATTGCATCGGAGAAGCCACTGCAACATGCTAACGAGTTCACTGCTGCAGAAATCACGACAGGCTTCTGGGTCGAATACTTAAAGTTCAGCTCTCTGAAGAATTTCCAGCTTGAACTGAAACAGAGGGTTGGACTTGTGCTTGGGTTGATTTGTGGTCAGGATATGTGTGTGTGTGTGTTTTTTTTGTTTCGATTGGTGGTAACCAGGGTAAGGGGAAAGGAGGGAGGAGGAATGGAGAAGCGATGTGGATCGAGAGCTACTCTCTAGGCGTCATGGAAGCAGAGCTTTCAGACGACCTGTCGTTGCTGCTGATCATACATTCGCAGGGAAGGATGAAGAGCGTCGCAGTCGCGATCTGTCAGGGCCCCCCTCAGTGGCCATGGGTGCTGCTCATCGACCTGCCCGGGGTTCAGTCCCCCTGTGCAAAGTCAGCGACTGGCTTGCGCGGTGGCGGGGGTGCCTGCTCTACCGACATACTGTCCCCCGCCCGGCCGGGTATTCCACCAAGGTCAGCGCGGGACCGGTCTTTTCTTTTTATAATCAGCGGCCGGGCTGCGGGATCGGTGGCAATGCGGGTGCTCCTCTCATCTCATCGCTAGACGATCTCAAGGCTCTTTGCTGCCTCACCCTGCTGTCTTATTAGTGGCATATCGGCAAGCAAGGTGCTCTAGGAGTGAATGAGTCGGAGACGCTGTGGTTCTACTTCTTTCACGAGGGTAGTTATTGCTGTGGAAGTCACGAGGGAAGGGCCCCAAACCGGAGCTGCAGCTGGTGGGGTGTGGGAGAGTTGAGACGGTGGTGCTGGTGATTTTGTTTACAGAGTGGTGAGGGAGAACTGGTAGTGTTCACCGTGGGGTTTGTGAGGCGGCGTTGTGAGCTAGAAGATGGGTTGCATTCAACTCTTAGAAGCATAGAGGGATACTCAGGGACAGGCTAGAAGGAACGCGAGAGAGAGACGAGGGTGAGACGAGACGGAGGTGAGGGGACAAGTGCGGTAAGAGGCAGAAGGAATTATTGAAGGTGATTGTGGTATTTTACAGAAGTTTCAAAGACCGCTTCTGAGCTCGCATGCTTTCGTGCACGTCTACGAGCAATTGGTGTAAATGTGTTACGACTCACTTCTCGAAAGGTTCAAGTGCTCATCACCACCCATCTTGCGGCAGGTGCCAAATTCTATGTTCGCAGCTACTGGGTGTGAGAAGACGCTTCGTTGTGCGCGCATGTCAGAACGTTTACAGTGAAGTTGAAGAGTAAAGGGCTGAGTTGGTTGTACGTCTAAGAAGTTGTCTCCTCTCTAGAAGTTCAAAGTTCCAGGGGGTTTTGGTTTGTGAGTAAACAAATCAGGCAAGCTGGAGCTTGCACAGGTCCTAGCGGGGTTCGAGAGGGGTTACGGACCGCCGCCGGCCATGTCTAGCGGCACCCCTTCGCCCATGATGCGAGACAACGACGACGATGGCGTTGATAGAAGACGAGAGGGCGACCTGGAGGGCCTCATGCGATCCTTGGGCGAAGACGTTTACTCACAAGACTATCTGAATCGGCATCATGCACACGAGCAAGTGCTGCATCTGCAGCAGAACGAGTTTTCCTCACCCCAGCCGATGTTTCCGACCCCCACGACCTCTTTCTCCCAATCGCCCTCCTTTCTAACAGAGCTTCTCTCCTTGCCTTCACCGGTCACCACGAGTTGCTGGAACACCACAGTTTCTGACCCCTTTCTTCAATCGGCCGTTCCTCGCGAAATGTTAAGCAGTATTGCGACCGATACCATCAATCGTAGTCTAGTGATGCCACACAGCCAACCTCAAAGTCAACTGGAGGCACTCTGGGACTCGTTGCCAGAGCACTCCTCATGGTTTGCGGAGCAGGGCGGGGAGCCGCGTCATTTGTACGTTGACAGTCTACAGGAGCTTCTGAGCAGCACGTCTGCTCCCTGGAACCAGCAGCACGCAGTGTCATCGACGGCACCCGTGGGCGTGGGCAAGACGTCGCATTCATCAGGAAGGTCTTCTGTCATGCAGTCGCCGTTGGGATCGCCCTCGCTGAGCTCCCGGGCCTCCCCTGCGCGCTTGAATTCCGCTGCGTCGACTATCCCTAGCACACCAAACTCCTCCATGAGCTCTGACAGCTTCAGCGTCGCCGCGGCGGAGGAGGATGAGACTCACCATGGCACCGGGAGCTCCAGCGGCCGGCCGTTACTTCAACGACCGCAATCTGTCACTGGCCCTAGTGGCAGCACCAGTGCCAAGCGCAAGTCGCAGGACCGGGTCGTAAATGACAACTGCGATGAGATTCAGTCCCTTGATTGCAAAAAACAGTAAGTCCCTGTCTTTTAGGTTGAGGTTACGGATTCGTTTTCAATGCGAGGATATCCCACCCTCCAAACCAAATTCTAAACATATGCACAATTCTTAACGGATGCTGTGAGGATTGTGATTGGCAGACGATGTGCGTGTGAAAGCCTAAGATGAATATGAAGATACTAAAGTGCTTTCACGTGTCTTTGGTCTCGTTTAGATCCCACAAGGCGAGAAGGAAAGGACCGAAGCGAGTGAGGGAGCCTCGCTACGCCATTCAGACTCGCAGCGACGTGGAAATCATGGAAGATGGGTACAAATGGCGCAAGTATGGTCAGAAAGCTGTGAAAAACAGTCCTCACCCACGGTAGTTTTCTACTCCAACACTCCGTCATCAATTCCACCTCCTCCAGTGCAGCGCAGAGACAGATTTTTGTTTGGTTTAAGTTGAGGGGATGTATGTCCTATACTCAGAGCTGATGGAGCTTTTTGAAATCGGTGATGTGCAGAAGCTACTATCGCTGTACCAATCCTAAGTGTCCAGTAAGGAAGAAGGTAGAGCGCTCCGCTGATGATTCAGAGTCGGTGATTACAACTTACGAAGGCACTCATACGCATGTTAGTCCGGGCACGGGCTCCCGGGGTGCTGCTGACGCGCCTCTCCTTGCAGCATCGAGTGAGTACCCACCCGGTGGTGCTCCGTATGTGCCCCCAGCTCCTCTCACGCCAGTAATTTTGCCCTTATCGTCAAGGGTGAAGTATGAACTTGCCGCATCTCAGAGGTCGTCGAAGGACGTCGCAATGATGTGCAGCCACGACGCTACTTCAACCGCGGGCCCTTTGCGAACCACGTCGAGCATCTGTAAGGTCGAGCCCCGATTGCACACCTCTCCCAGCAATGGAGGTCTCTTGTCTGCCTCGTTGCTGCGGATGCAACAATTATTTGCGGAACCGCAACTGAGTGGGAGTGAATATTTGATGATGCAAGACTTTCAAGATTCGATGTGCTGGGGCAGTATTCGAACGCAACACTCCGGGAGCTCGCAAGAGATCGTTTCCTTAGTGCCCACTTCGGCAGCTGCCTCCAGCGGAGGATTGCTAGAGGACATTGTCCGGCATCGGCACTGAGGGAGTCGTGATGCCCACCGATCATTGGCACGACGATTCTATGAGTTGGAGGGTATCAGAGAATATGTGTTGCAGCTCGGTGCATCTGCTGCGACCGTGGTAATTTCGATTTCAGCCAGGAAATCACTCCTGGGGTCCGCGTTTCCGTGCCGCGACCATGATCCTCGCCTCTCTTCCACTCACCTGTGCCTCGATCAGTCTCTTGAGCCGCGGTTGGAGGTGTTGTGATTTCTTCATGCAACCATATACGAAATCATATCTCCTCCGCCGATGCCGATTTATTTCCCACTGTGTACACATATTGATCCAGTTTTTGTAAAGTCTACAGATTACACAGGAACCGCCCTTTTAGGGTCATCTACAGGAGTGATGTCATTGCGACCACAATTTTTCATCACGGCTTGCTTGCCACTTCGAACCATACTCGAGAAATTTTCAATAGAATATTAGAAAGTAGACCTAAGATCTGCCGCTATTTCTTTCTGGACTCTAATTTGTAACTGGACATTTTAAGCGCATGTAGGAAGATGTTCATTACTTAAAAAGAAAAATGTTACTGGCGACCGGCTGTATTCTTTTTCTTGCTTTAAATTCTTTTGATCTCACAGAGGTCTCACTGGACTAAGTCCTCTCTCTGGATCTGTGCTGGTTATGGTCTTGTCTTGATGTTGGGGATGAGTGGACATACTCGTGTATTTTTTCGCTCTGTTCAGGATGCTGGTTGCTGGTCAAACCCAACTTGGCAGCTAGACATGACCTGTGAGGGCACGCAAACTGCTGTACAATGTTTTTGTCAGTGATGAGTGTATTCAAAGTCGCACTGGAAGGGTACACAACTGAAGTCAGCGCCACGAACCTGGAACTGTTGTTGCACGCGTTGAGAAAATTTGTACTTGACTCGGGTTGTCCACCTTGAGATTTGCTCTCTCTTACTTCGAGCTTCTTCACGCTCTTCACAATGGATTCATCATGTGGAAGAAGGCCTCGAAAAGGTGAACCTCGTATTTGTCCAAGGTTGAGAGCCTCGTTGTGAGGGCTTCGACCTTTGCTCCTACTACTTGCAGCACAATTACTCTTGCGGATGAAGACCATTTCCTCACCATCACTTGGGACAGCTCTACATGCTGCTTGAATACGGCCACGGTTACGATAACGTACTTTGACCGTGTGAACTGCACCAGAATGTGACGACAGGCCTGCATCCTTTTGGCCGCCCGCTGCAAGTTGGACGTCGAAGCAAAAGAGCAGATACTGAATCATCTCAAGAATTGAAACCTAACAGGAAGAGAAAAGAAAGATCATCGCACTTATTTACGGTGTCGTGTTTTGAATCAGGCTATAAGTAATTTAGTCACAGTAATTGTGTTTTTTTTCACGTTAGTGCTTATATCAACGAGGAATGATTGTACCGGCACTTCCACCAAAGAGAAACTGAGTTTGTTGCAAAGATATGGCGTGTGATGCGTGAGATGGGCGTGTCTGGGTGGAGCAACAAGGACTTTGGTACGTGGGGCCGTCCACAAGGGAGCTTCGTCCCTTCCGCTTCCCTGTTCCTGCTGCCTTTGCTTCTTCGCTTTTAGAGGATATCCTTACCGCCGGCATCAACTTCTCTGGGACGTGCATTTATGTGAGGTGTGAAGAATTCTTTCTCACTTTCCAAGTTATCTTAGTAAGATTTACGTATCTGAGATGGTCTGATGTTTGCAACACCCCAACAAGCTGTCAAGGTGATACGTGAAATTAAGCGTGACAACATTGGTCTTCGGAGGTTAAGCACGCTGCATTTGCGTGCGATTGGCAATTCGAACGGCTAACAATGTGACCTCCTCCTCAAACATATGAAATGAACATCAATCAATAGAAAAATTCAAGTGAGACGCAGATATTCATAGTGTTTTTTCATTTGAGGAAGACAGGAGGTCGGGAGGGACAAAAAAGAATAGATGACTTGTTTCTTAGTAAGAAGATCAGCTGTACCATCTTTATTGAAGAAATCGAAGTGAGAAATTGTAATGTAGAGGGTTTTGTGCCGGACATGTAGGTCGTGGGAAATAAGAGCACCTATCGTTGTTACATGCGATGGTTGTTGACAGAAGACATAGACTTGGTATGCTTGGTTCAGTATTTCAGTTATGTCCACTAAGTCTGCAATTGCAAGGCTTTTGAGTTTTTCTTCTAATCAAGGATTTCCAACCGTTTGCTGAAAAAGGTTCTCACCGTATACGAAGTTGTGTGTAATGCGTAGGTGTTATGAACGCATGTGGGAACAAAGCGCAGGGGCCGGAGTTAGTGCTCCTGTGGTGTGTTGGGTGTGCCGAAGCATTTTAGGGTTAGATCAAATGTGTAGGAAGGGATACATAGCTAGACTTTGATTCCGAGAAGTTGGCAGTATTGACTCTCTTTCTCATGCCTTCTCTTCAAGAATAAGGTTCCTTGGCAAGAAAGAGATCATACAGTCAGTGAAATGTCTAAATTATAATATTTATTTTGTTGCATTTGCAGGTTTTTAAAAATGCGTGAAGTGTGACTTGGCTTGTATGCACGCCGGATAGCTAGAGGAGGGCGTCCAAGTTGGGTTCAGGAACCTACAAAACGTGGCCGTTAAGCTATTGCATCCAGTGGAAGCCAGCGGCACAGCTACTAAGTTTGTGGAGAAGAACCCATCAAGCGGCATTCCATCACCTTTGTTTTGCAGTTGGGTTTTAAAAATGTTACTACCTATTCTTCACACTTAAAAGCCCCCGCAAAATATCAGGAAAACAACTCCTGCAAATCATGCTCCATGCACTTAGTTTTGCAAACAGGCCTAGGCTAGTCTTCAGAAAAAAAACACAGTTTTAGAAGCACTAGATACTTGGAGGACCTTGATTAGATCGCAGTAACAATAACCATCTCCATGAACAGCAACAAACATGCACTGAATCTGCATCCCAAGGACTTACAATCTGCAGCATCACATCTTTCGACGACTCGTGTGAACATGTAAACTTACACCATTTAGCTGGCCAAGGATTCTCACGTAACCCAAAATGAAAGCCATAGTTATCAAAACAAATGCAATGCATCGCCTTGAACTTGTCTGGTTTAGGATTCTAATCGTTGTTAGAATTCCAGGTAAGGAGCAGAAGCAATTGCAGTCTGAATTTCTTTAGAGAACTTGACATGGGTATGTTACCTCCCACCAGTCAGCTCATGATGCAGCTTCGTGGTGGGCTTGGAAGTTTTTAAATTGTTGCCATTTGGACTGGTTCATAGACCAAAGTAGATCTCCAAATTCAACCTTGGAACTTCTTTAATCTATTCTAATCTTGATTTAGTGTGACCCCTTTGCTAGTTGCTTTTAGAGCATAGCTACATGTTGGTGCCAATAGACATGGCTGACGGGTGGATGCTGTGGCTGCATGGTGTACTGGCCAAGGCAATCCTAGCGCAGTCTGTATCTACTGAGTGGAATGGTCGACAAAAGCCAAGTCCACTGCAATGTGCCCGCCCTACATTGGCTCCCTAAGGACCCCACTTCTAGCCTCTCTTCCTTCCAAGAAGCCCCCTTTGTATGGTAAAAGGAAAAAAAGTGGTTTCTACCGACTACGCAACCTCGTGGCCAGTAGGAAAAGGCTTGGCGTCACATGTTTACACCACATTGGCTCCCCCAAGGCCCTACTCCAAGTCATTCATAAGCAAGAGAGAGTCGTTTCCATAGCAAGCTACTGGGAAAATGGTCCATTCTGCTAGGGCTGGTCTAGCTAGGGCCGATAATTGGGTCATAATGGAGCTTGTTTTAAGGCAGGGGCAGCCTGGTCGGCCATTGGCGACGTTGATCGTTATACTCTTAGCAGGCTTGAAAATTGCCTTGTAAAACACATTTGTTATTATCCACAAAAGCATTGAAATCTAGAGCAACTCTTTCTCCTTTGTTCTTATGTATCCCCTAATCAAGGTTATTAGGACATAAGTAGTCACATTCTTATCATAATATTTAATCAAAGCATTTGATAGAACCCATTTTGGGTCAAAACCAAACAAACAAACAAACAAACAAACAAATATACATAGTGGTTTGTTGAAGTTTTGACTAACATTTATTGATTACTAAATATATTTTGGTAATATAAAAAGGGAGATAATGAATTATGAATGTTACAAATAAGGTGAGCATAAACTATGTGAAATAATTGTAGTTTGTATTTTTTTCTAAAAGAGAAATAAGCTGTTTTTTTAAAGAATTTTTTAAATCTTATTAATGAAAACTACATAGCAGAGAGCAAGAATAAAAGAAAAATAACTTTAAGAATGATTCTTTGATAATAGAAAACAAAAAGGAATATACCTTATTTTAAAAATTATAATGATGTAACAAGTATAAGAATAAATAATACTATTAATACTAATAAAAAATGAACATAAAAGGTCATCAAACCAAAAAAGAAGTTTCTTCATATATGAATGTGTTATTTTGAAATCCAAATTTTTATTTTTTAAAATTCAAAATGTGTTTATAAAGAACCAATCAAAGAGAAGGAGATTTGATCATATGTACTTTTTGAAGAATTTTGTTCTTCCAACACATTCTCTTATTTGAATATCAAATTATAGAAAAGAAACAATCTCTACATTAAATAATCTCTATCTAACATTTGTTGTTTTTAAAATTGGAATTCAAATTTTAACACGAGGTTTATTAAAGTTCTATAAAATCTATTTCATTTTTAACAATGTATTTTAGATGATTTACTGTAATATATATATATATATATATATATATATATCAGAAAATCATCTAAAATTTTAATTTTAATTTTAATTTTTTAAATCAAAAAATATTATATAACTAATTTTATAGATCTTTGCTTATTTGAAGTATTATGCTTTTGAGTATTATAGATTTTATAAATTTTAATGATAGTATAATACAATATTTTTAATTTAATAAATATTTAAGAATTTATTTCTAATGTATTTTTTACTATATATAAGAAAATATTAAAATAATCCATCCATTTACAAAATCAATCCATCCTACTGTGGAGAACAAGGAGGATTGGGATGAAGAAGGCTGAGAAGAGAGGGAGTAAAGGCTAAGAATAAGGGAGGTGGAAATAAGGGCCATGATTGTAATAATGGTTTCTAAAGATGATCCATTTTTTAAATCATGGTTACAATAGTGTAGGTTGATTTAATAAATAGGTGGGATGTTTTAATATTTTTTATAATATATATATATATATATATATATATTAAAGATCTTCTTCTTTAATTTTGTTATTAAATAAGTTATATACTATTTTATAATTAACTTGTATTATTTAAATAAAATTTTGATAAAATATCTAACTTTTTTTTTAAAATAATTCATAAAAAATAATTATTAAAAATTCACAAATAATTTATATTATTTTTAAATGAATTTTTTAGTTATCTTTAAGATCTTCATAGACTACATAGTCAAATTAGTTAAGTTTTAAGTTAACTTATGTAAATCTAATATAGTTTTATATAATATTTTATTTTTTAAATATTTTATTATTAAATTCTAATTATTATTTTTTAATTAATTATTATTTAAGAATGATTTTATTTTTAAGATAAAAATTTAAAACCAATATTTATTAAATATACTATGATATATGTTATACTATCATACATTTAAATTGAAGTATTATTGAAATAATCTAAAATTATAAATATAAATGAAATATCAATAAAAAAAAATTATGCAAAAATATCTTGTACATTTTTAATTCTAAATTTTCAAAAAAAAATTATTTAGGATTTTAATTTTTAAACTTATTGGTTTCTAAATTCACTACAAATAAATAGACAAAATAGAAATCACACTTGTTAGAATTCTATAAGTTGAAAAATATATATTTTTAATAAATATATGGAATTTTATTTTTTAATTAAAATTTATATTATAAAAAATATAAATAAAATAATTTTTAGAAATTATCTAAGAAAATAAAAATATTGATTTTAAAAATAAAATAAAATATTAAAGTTTTTTTACTATTATAAGAAAAAAAGTGGTTATTCTAAAGTTGGTTCTTTTGACCAAGTTAAGATTAATTTAGTAGAAAATTGCTTGATTATAAGATGTTAAAGTTGGCCGTATTAAAAGGAATCCATTACAAACTATTTAAGTCATACTATAAGAAATAATGTGGCAAAATTTAGATAGATTAATGGTTGTAAAACAAATTAATTTTGAAATTCAATTTAGATTTTTCTAGGTTATTTTGTAGATTAGAATAATAATAATTTTTTAGAATTTTTTTATAATAATTTAAAATTTATATGAAAAATATATAAAGACATTAAATAAAAAATTCATAACACACTTTTACTTTTCTAAAATTAAAGTAGAAATGAGACTCATAACAAATAGATTGTACAACAATAGTGTGCTTCAAGTTTCTTAGACTTCTATTATATTATTTCTTAGCCTCAATTAATAATAAATTAGAAATAATTTAATTAATATAATAACAGAAATAATATAATAGAAGTCTAAGAAATAAATGTATCCTAGTAAACTATGACAATAGTTATTTCATTAAGGTAGCATAAAACTTTAAATTTTCTTGAAGATAAAAATAGATTGTTAAAAGATATTGTATAAATTTCAAAGCAAAAAAATAAAACATTGTGGTTATTTGTATTGAAACAAGTCCAATATAAATATGTCAAGTAATATTTGTAATAGACTTTCTTCTATTGTTAATTTTAATTCTATATTTAATTATATTTCATACATTATTATAAAATTTAAAAATAATTTTTTATTTATACACTTCTAAATAAAAAAATAGATATTTTATATTTATTCATATATAAAATTATATTATATTATAATATATATATATATTTTTTAAAAAATCATATTTATTAATAATCTAATTTATGTGTAGAATTAATTTATTCTATTATATTAATTTATGTTTACTTTCATATCATCATACATCTTTTTGTTCATTTTTTTTTTCTATTGCATTAGTCATTTTTTTTTTACCTCTACCAACTTATAAACAAATATTAAAAAAATAATTAAAATATTTGTACATTTAGATTTTTTATTTATTAAAATAAAATATTAAAATCAAGATTACATTGGCAACATCCCAAACTTATAATTATTAAACATGTTAAGACTTATATATTCAATTTTATTGCTATACTTTATCAATACTAAGACTAATATTAGAATCTATTGTTTTGATTAAATCAAAAGTGAAATACTACTTAAGCTTCTTTTTTAAAGGATTTTTAATTAATGTATCTTATTTTAATTCTATATACTAATTTATTCAATAAAAATAAATAAAAATAAGTAGAAATTAATATATAGATAATATCTTCTTCAAAAAACATCCATTAAGTTTTTTAGATATAGATTTTTACTTAAAGTGTCTTTAGGGATATATATATATAGCTTATTTATTTACTTAATATATATATATATATAGCTTATTTATTTACTTAATATATATATATATATATATATATATATATAAAAATGAAGCTACAATATTTGTTCTATATTAGAAATACCATCACTATTGTTAATATATATATAGCTTATTTATTTACTTAATTTATCTATCTTATTACAACCATTATTAAAAAAGTTTATCATTACAAGAATTTATTGATAGAATCTCAACTTTCTTTGTTTGAACTTCAACTTCTTTTATTCTCATCCTTTATTCCAATCTCCCTTGTTTCTAGCCTTCACTCCCTTTCTTCCTAATGTTCATCCTTACTTCCCGCCATTGAACAACCACTTTAGCTATAAACATCTCATGCACATTCATTCATCTCATTGTATACCTCCAAAGTATGGAATATCTTCACTATGCAATCTACTTGAAATGCCTCTGTCTTCTTTGTCAAAGTCAAGATTAATCTACCAAAGAATATCAAATTAAGAACACAAACATTAAACTCTTTTATAAAAAAATTTATTTAATTTTTTAGGCAAAAGTCCTATTCATCAAAAAATTATGAAGAAACAACATTGATGGCTTTTTTATATCTCTTGTACATCATACTCCACTCCAAAGCTACTTCTATGGTGTTCAATAGCAAAACAAGATGGTGTCAATGTCTACTTCTACAACTTAGGATTTATGTCTATAAGCTTCATATTAATGCTTCAATTGAATTGTGTTTATGCTTACAATCTGCAAACTAAAACTAGATTTCCTTTCCATAGCAAAAATCATCATCTATGTCTCAATTACACCTTTAAGATCAAAATTTGTAAACATCATGATTTCAACATTTATTTTAGTGGTATACATTTGTGACACGACTTTAAGTAAT